GTAATTCTAAACACAAAAGAAGAACTTTTTAAATGGGTGAGTTGGAGGAGGAAATAAGAAAGGTTAATTTTACTTTTGCTTCGGTTACTATTGAATAGTAAAACTACCATAAAATGGTAAGTGGTGTGCATTTTGTTGTTGGTAGAGTAACTATTTCATTTATCAGAAAACGAATACGTATTAATACGCTAAAAAATTGTAAAGGTTAAATTGACAAAAACGGATAGTAAAGTAAATGTATAAAAAAGTTAACAACTAGTACAAACTAGTGACGTTTATTTTGTTTTTCCTTCGGTTACTATTGAATCGTAAAACTACCATAAATTGTAAAGCTGTGAGCACTTTATTGTTGGTAGAGTAACTACTTCCTTGATCAAATTGAAAATTCAATGAGTTGGGACCATTTAGCTATTTTATTGGTTAATTTTACCCAAAAGTCTTTTGGTTGTTGAAACTCAAATTGCATTATACTATAATTAAAAGCGTTTCCTAGAAAATAGTCTTATGAAAACGTGAGGATTTGGAATTTATAAATACTGAGGTAAGAACCAATCGAGGAAATATAATAAGCATGCATTCTATCCTAACCGAAAAATGATATAGTAGAACATCTTGTATAAGATCAAATTTTGGTAGACACGTTCCGTTTACACATTAAGTACAAATGTCCAATTACTATTTACCTTAAGTGACATTGATAATTGCATGTAATTAGGCCTGAAAGCCCTACGAACACCGGTCCTACCCAGATGTTACGCAAGCAGCGCCTCCCTGCGGGCCTGCCACGCCCCCTTGCGGATACCTCATTACACATGCAAGTGCATGTGGCGGCAATTACCAGAAATTAAATAAACAATACGAAGCCCAGCAGAAACAAAAACAAAAGTCAAAACGTCTGAGGAAAACAATCACGACGACAACTGTTGCATCACGACGGCAACGCAAAAGTTGCCGGCGGGGCACAACCACTCGGGTTACCAGCGACTCCATCATATTGAACTGTAATGCACAATCCCCGACTTACATAACAAGGTTGAGGATCATGCCCAGACCACGGCTCACAGTAATGTGCCGACTTTTATTGTTAATTCGTATGCGCAGCGGGATCGGCGAGGAGAAAGTGTTCGAAGAGCATTAGGAAAAAGCCACAAAAAAGTCCAATAAATCACTCTTTCCGATCGAGAGTTTTGCAGAGGAGCCAACAGGTTTTCAGGGAGGATCACTTTCGCTTTTTTTGGTTCGGGTTTCGTTTGGAGAGTGCAAAATACAGAAACGCTTCGATTAAATAGGGGTAATTTTTTCTTTTATTACTGAGAGAAAACTTAACAATGAGGAGGGGTAATGCAATGAGCTAACCAAGGGAGTAGTCTGAGACTTAGTTGCGACCGATCTGGTCGACCTGGGACTGCAGGTTGTTTATCACCTCGGAGGGCACCTGGTCGCCGAGGATCTCGAACAGGTTGATGCGCTGGTTGCCGGGGATCTGCTCGTAGGCGCCCAGCTCGATGCCCTCCTGCACATTCTGGATCTGGGCGTCCTTGGGGATGAGCAGGGTCTGCTGCGCCTGCCTGATGGCCTCGTTCGTGTAGGCGGCTCCCTCGCGGTTCTGGGGCAGGGATTGGGCGCCGGCCAGCAGGAGGGCGAGCATGGAACACAGCGCGAACACTTTCATTTTGTGGTGTAGTTTGGGATGTGGCTCTTTGAACTGCGGATAGAGAGATTCCCGGATTCAGTAACGCTATCCCGTCTCGATCTAACCAATGGTGCTTGGATGGATCATAGATGAAGTCTTACCTTGCGCGCGGCGTTTGTTGTAATGTTTCTGCTGCGCAGGCGCACAGCCCGTTTTATAAGCTGAGCTCCGCCGCTGGAAGCCCCGAAAATCTGGAAAGCTTCAGCTCTTTCATTTCGCTTCGTTTCTGGTTTTCGTGAAGCCCCACTAGCAGCAAAAGTTTTGCAGTAAAAATAATCCCATAAAGAGTGTTATTACTTCCAGCGCAATATCCCCATCGACCCATTAAGGTGAATACATTTTTATTGGAAATATTTTCTTGGGCATTTGTCCAATTTTAATGCGAAGGTTAAGCGCCTCTTCGGAAATGTCAAGTGGCATTTAACCTTCCAGTGCACACTCAACCGCAGAGTGGTCTTTCAGGTGCTATCTGGTTCATATTAATAGCCTGTACGAAAAAATTAACAATTACCAGACTGAAGATTGAAGAGTCATTTACAAATTGCCACCATGGCTGGCCGTTTTTTTATTTTTCCGATTTGCGCAAGAGGAGCAAAAGAGAGGGATATAGCGATCGAATGGCAAATTACAGCAAAACATCTGCGTCTGATTTGCTTGCAAAAATATTTAATTATCGACATTGCGAATTTGGCCGTATCTTTTTAAGTTACTTTTTTGTTGTAATACTAAAAACAATTGTCAGTGGCGACGTCATGTGGGGCCTTACATCTATCCAAAGCCAATAAAGGAAAAACGTTGCAAAGTTTTAGATTAGGATACATAATTAAGAAAAATTATCAGTTTAATAACAAATTTATTTTTGTTCAAAGAAGGGTAGGAAAAATCCTTGTGATAAAAAACAAAAAATAGTTGGTAACAATATTTTAGAAAAAAAAATTAAACAAAAAAAAAGGATTTTATATCTGTAATTCAAAACAATTACCCAACTCTCTACCAGACCTTTTTTGAATGTACATCATTTGGCGCCAAAGTATCGATAAGAATTCGATTATAGCGCGGCGATACAAGTGCGATAACACTTTTGCGTTTGACCTTTTTTAGTAATTTTCGTTGTAATTGTTGCATTTATCATCGTTCTTTTAAAAACACGCTTTTTTCCATTTAACTGAACACAACAAACTCCTGCAAGAAAAACCATTGGTTGAGTGGTTCATTGCTGCTTCAACGAACCGGAGTTAGGTCATAATCCCCATATACTTCCGCAGGAAAACCCCCCGATCTGATCAAGAATAAAGTGCCTAGGAAAACGCACGTGGGCCAGAAGATGGATGCGGAAAACGGCGAGGGGCAGGTGCAGGTCCACCTGAAAACCAAGCAAGAGCAGTGAGTGTCCATCGTGAAACTCTTCTAAGTTCCCATTTAATCAAGGATCCTCTTTTCAGCTATGCTGTGCCGGATGTGCCATATGCGATCGATGGAACAGTCACCACCGCGGAGCTAAACACATTCGTTAATGCCCTTCTCCGCCAGAAAGATGGTTCCTCCGAGACAGACTTCGACTTCCTAGTGTTCGATGAGTACCTCCGCGGTCGTCTATGCGATCACCTGCGTGAGAAGGCCATTAGCTTCGAGGATGCCATCGAAATCGAGTATGTGGAGCGGTTTCCGGCGCCGGAGCCCCAGGATTGCCTGCTCCACGACGACTGGGTGTCTGCGGTGAAGGCTAGCGGCAAGTGGATCCTTAGCGGCTGCTACGACAACACCCTGAACCTGTGGACCAACAAGGGCAAGCACATCCTCACCATTCCCGGCCACACGGCGCCCATCAAGGCGGTGGACTGGATATCACTGGACGAGGAGACCGGTCGCTTCGTGTCCACCTCGCAGGATCAGACGGCCATGCTGTGGCAGTGGAGCGTGGCGTCCAACTCGGTGGAGTGCGTCTCCGTTTGCAAGGGCCACGAGCGAGGCGTCGATAGCGTCAGTGTGAGTCCGGATGGTCACAGATTCGCAACAGGCTCCTGGGATACCATGTTGAAGGTGTGGTCAGCAGAGGTGGAGGATGCGGCCGAGGGCACCTCCAAGCGGATGAAGGAGAGCGGTGTCAGGGTAGGTATTCATTTATGTTTTAAAATGTATTTATACCTACTGGGATATTGCTTTGCAGACCCCCAAAATGACGCTGCAGGGACATCGAGAGAGCATTTCCGCTGTGCAATGGATGGATGCCACCACTTTGCTCACTGGCAGCTGGGATCACACACTCAAGGTGTGGGATCTGAGTCTCGAGGGCATTAAGACCGAAATATCCACCAACAAGTCCATCTTCGATGCCAGCTACTCAAAGCTGAACCGGCTGATACTGACGGCCTCGGCGGACAAGAATCTGAGGCTCTACGATGCCAGGACAAACCGTACGCCCACATTTTCAAAAAAATAATCAAAGTCCTTTTCCTAACCAGTATTAATCTCATCTTTCAGAGGGATCTGTGGTTCGCAACACCTACCTGGGACACAATGCCTGGGTGCAGAGCGTCATGTGGTCCAACACGGAAGAGTTCCTCTTCGTCTCCGGTGCCTACGACAACCAGAACAAGTTGTGGGATTGCAGAAGTCCCAAGGCCCCACTGTACGATCTTCTGGGTCACGGCGACAAGGTCCTGGACATCGATTGGTCCAATCCCAGGTACATAGTCTCCGGAGGAGCCGACAACACGGTGCGTGTCTTTAAATCCCGCAAGGCGTTAGCAGAAGACATGGAAACAAAGTAACCCTAAACTTTGTAAACTTTTTATAAATACAAGATAGGCTTAAAGTATAAAGTAAATATTCAATGAAACTGGATTGTGTTATTATTGTAAAAATTACAAAGAAGTACTTTCAAACTACTACTTTGGTTAGTCTACAATAACATATCTGTCTGCTAGAGTTGACAAGGATTCAATGAAATAAATAAAACTTCTTTAACTTTCATGGAACATAAAAGGTTGGTTAATATATTGTCTTAAAAATAATTATGTTTTCACTTTATTTGTTAAAAAGATTTATGTTCACCTAACTTTTGATTAATAGGATTTAAATTTAAATTTTTTTAATATAAGAGAATTTAATTTATCTGTTTCTAGTTTATTTTAAAATTTATCAAACTTTTATAAATTAATACTCATATACAAATTTAAATCATTTTTAAAACCAAAGAGTTGCCAGACCGCAGCAAAGGGCTATCGGTGCTGCCGAAGGCTGGTCATCGATTGTTTTCTAGGGATGAGCGGTCCCGCCAGCAGCTAGAGACGGACCCGGAGCGATAGCTGGCTACAAACATACAAATTATCGAGTTTCTAACAAAGATAAAGACGGCTCTGCGTCTCCGCGTATTTGCCAACTGTAATTCTAGCCCAGTAAAAGCGACTAGAAAGGTGAAAACCGCAGGAGTCGGACCGCCCCCACTGCCACCCACCGAGGACGCCAGCGGGACAGCCTTGCGGCCACAGCGAAGGCCGTGTGCGCAAGAGTGCGAGCGAGAGGGCAGCAGGCGACACAGGCAGAGGCGAGCGAATCATTTTCGCAAGTGTTGTGATAGAAAAAAGTGAAGGAACTGCGATAGTGAGGTGTGTATAGTGAACCGGGGGCAGGTCTCTGGGTAGACCGCCGCACTATAGCCGCTCGAGTTCCGCGGAATTGTGCAATCGGGCTGCAGGCGGCGGAAGCAGCGGCATCATCCTCAGTCGGCGGCGGCATTTTGCAAATGTCTGCTGATTGATTTTTTGCGGCATGCAGCACACGCGGCTGAAAGTCGGCTGGCCAGGGCATCACCTGCGGAGGTTTCACCTGGTACTGGTTCGGGAATAATACCTGGAACCGGGGCCTTGCACCCCCCTCGAAAATCCCCCTTTCCACGGCCGGGTCTTGCCAAAATGGCCGCTGCCGCTGCTCAATAGAAATGTGTGCGTTTGTGCGAAACAAAAGCAAACCCCTGTCATCATAAAGGGGCAGAAACAAGGTGGAAAACCAGGTCAAGGACCCTGGGGAAACCCGGCCAAGATCTGCGTGTAATAGCTGTGTGTCACTGGCACCCGTTTTCATGTGGATGTGTGGACAGAGATATTATAAGGACCCATTTTGTACATTCCATGCAAATGTATGTACATTTCCGGGGATGCCCAAAAACCTGTCCGAACACATACCAATAACAAACAATTCCGCAATACCAAACCCGATACAGTTGCAGATTCCTAGGGAATGCCTTGTTCTTATATTTCCGTTTCCAACCTACGTAGAAATTCTACTCGATTGTAAATCACTCGAATATCTGTTAACTCGCATATCATAATGAAAATTTTAAATACTTGGAAAATGCAACCGATAACCTCTAAATTTTCCCCTTGTCTTTTCCAGTTCAAACAACCACGACCAAGAATGTCTTCAACCCCAGCAGCGGGCAGTGTCGCCGAGGTGGCCACCTCCAGTGCCACCTCGAATGCCCCGAGCACGCCCAGCACGACGACCAGCAACGTGAGCAATCCCAGTCAGCCCTCGTCCGCCGGAACGCCGCAGGCACGTGGTGGCCGGGGCAGTAACGCCAACGGTGGAGCCTCTGGCAGCAATGCAGCCGGAGGAGACGAGCCACGTAAGGACTCTAAGCCCACGCCCAGGATTTCCAAAGCCCTGGGCACGTCGGCCAAGCGCATCCAGAAAGAGCTGGCCGAGATCACACTAGACCCACCGCCCAACTGCAGTGCCGGACCCAAGGGCGACAATCTGTACGAGTGGGTCTCCACCATCCTGGGACCACCCGGATCCGTCTACGAGGGTGGCGTCTTCTTCCTCGACATACACTTCTCGCCGGAGTACCCCTTCAAGCCGCCCAAAGTCACGTTCCGCACGCGCATCTATCACTGCAACATCAACAGCCAGGGCGTCATCTGCCTGGACATACTCAAGGACAACTGGTCGCCGGCGCTGACCATATCAAAGGTCTTGCTGTCAATTTGCTCCCTGCTCACAGACTGTAATCCAGGTGAGGATCGCAAAGCAGAGTCCTTTTATAATATTATATTTATCCAATTGAATGCGAGCAGACGGTAAAAAAAAACAAACAGTCTCAGCCTTGATTATGAAATAATCATATTTCCTAGGTTCTTGATTAATGTTTATTATGGGGTTTCAATTTCCATTCGAGTAATGTTTTATATTTCGCAGTATATTACCGAGAATTGTAACCTATTTTTAAAGTGTTTATTGATGATGATTAATTGAGGTGGTTGACTCTTATTAATGAGTATTTTAAGATTTTGAAATCCAAAGTACGGTTAAATTTTCCGTACTGCGCCGTGTTATTGGATGGAATATTTATAATAATATTACACATTTTAAACGTTTAAACCTTTATCCTTTTATAGCCGATCCGCTGGTGGGCAGCATTGCCACGCAATATTTGCAGAATCGAGAGGAGCACGATCGAATTGCGCGTCTTTGGACAAAACGGTAGGTCGCCGCAAATGAATTCTATCCAACATACAATAACACTTTCTTCTAATTCCTCGTTCAGGTACGCAACATGATGCGTAAGTTCCGGCATCGTACATGTACCACAAACCGAAAACTGCAACAACAGAAACGAAAATTCGCATCTTGCAACGGAGAAAGTCTATTTTATAAATATATATTAAAATACGATAACTAATAAAGTAACAGTAAAAACTACCATAACATGTACACGAAACATGAACATGAACAGCAACCGCCAACAGCCAGTCGATCCAATTCAGCCTACATATATTTATATCGAGCTAATACAAAAGTTGTAAAAACATTTGGAGATTTCTTGAGTTGTATTTTTCGGAAACTAGTTTTGTTTTTAGATCGCTTAGCAACCGAAAACATTGAAACGAGTCAAACGAGAGGAACACATTCAATAAAAAATTGCATGATAAATGGCACATTGACATATTAAACTACAAACTATTCAACTGCATAAATAAATATAAATACAATTAGTTTACATTATATGTGTACAGTGTTAAGTGAAAATGGAGCTAAACGAGTAAAGAGAAAAGCCTATTTTAATGCGTAATATATTAATGCAACCAATGTCAGGGCAAAAACCTTCGTAAAAGATGATTTTCATTAAAAAAAAAACTGGCCACAGCAAGGAAAATTCTCATCAACAAAAGACTAAATATGGAGTGGTAAACGAAAAACGAAATAAATCTATGTATACAAAACTTAAGACAACCTATTCCAAATTCCAAAACAAAATTAAATAAATTTGTGTTATTTATACATATATAAAGTCGGATTCGGTTTAATTTTTTAATGTGATATTTTTAAGCGTTTGAGATTTGTTTTTTGGCCAAATACCTTTTTGAAATAATTGATTATTGTTTTTAGACTTGAAAATTAAAAGGCTCCACAACAGCGAAATTTGTTATTTTGAACAAAGGCGATTCGAGTATAGTGCTGATATATAAAGGAAAACAACAAAAGTTTAATGAAAACCAACTTCCTACTATTTTGTAGTTTTACTGACTAAACAGCCAGTGTCACATCAATGAAAAAACTGAAAAATTTCGTAACAAAATAATTGTAAGTTTTTTCGTAACCAAAACAAAAAAAACCGGAGGATGGAAAAGAACTTAAATAAAAAATATTGCAAAATTATTATTTCGGATCTTTATTCTTTTGAAAGGTTATCAAATTCCCAATTCAGGTTCCTCAGGGTCCTCGCCAAAAATGAATTTGACGTAGTTACTTTAAGTTTTAATTTTATTCGATATATCTTTGTTTATATAAAATATGTTTCTCATTACACTATTAAACATAAATGTGTGCACGCTCCCCGAACGTGGAACAACACAATGAATCTTGGCAAGCCCCCGTCCCACCCCGCAGGCATCTGGCTTATAGATACATGCCGTTGACCAGGAAGTCTGCCTCCTGCGAATAGGGCGTCTTGCCGCCCAGTCGTCGAGCCCTGCGGCTCACCGTTCGCATCCTGCATCCTATAAGAATGGCTAAAGCGGCGGTCACCAACAGACCCAGGGTCAGCGAGAGCACGGCTCCGCCGGGACGCTCCGAGTGACCGTCGTGGTCCCGGAACTCCATCGCCAGGTTTTCGTGGATCATCTTGTACTGCTCGTGCACTGGAGACACGGGAACGGGAAGAGCTGGCAAGGATGCCTCCTGCTGCTGCTGCTTATTTTGCTCCAAGGCCAGTTCAATGGGATCCTTGGCCGTCTTCGCCTTGACCTTCTTGTGCTTGTGCTGCTTCTGTAGGAATAAGGAATGTATAATCAGTATTTATATTTACAGGATTAAATATCAAATCCCACCTTCTTTGGTGCCTCTGTGAAAGTTTCTTCATCGTAGTCTTCGTAGTCCCCGTCTTCAGCGAGGCCCTGGTTTTTTCCAGGTGCAGGTGCGGCATTTAGGACTGGCAGCATTGCTTGCTGTGGAGATGGTGCAGATTGGATGGCTGGAGCAGCAGCATAGCCATGACCAGGTTGCTGCGGTACCAGCGAAGGTTGCTGCTGCACCGGCGACTGTTGCTGCGGTGCCAGAGGAGTCTGTGGGGCCCACACCACATTGGATGGCACCTGCTGCTGACCAGAGGACGACGCCTGGAGCTGCTGCTGGGGCTGATGTTGCTGCTGTGACAAATACATTCCCGAGCGTGGTAGCGACATGCCATACATAGCTTGATTGCCATCGTAGCTGGGCAATTGGAGCGGTGTGGATTGCCCCTGAACCTGAACCGGCGCTGCTCCCTGGACCTGCAGTTGCCCCTGTCCACTCGCTGGCTGCTGCAATTGGAGGCCGCCTTTGTGACTGAATATGTGGCTCTGCTCATCTGCAAGAAAGTGGAAGCGTCACAAGGAAGTATGAAGTGTGTCCCCCACTTAACGCACAGCTAATTGAATTAATTACGAGTAGACAGAGACACAGCACGCACATTGCACAAACATCCGTAAATCAATTTCGAGTGACGGCAGCTCCCATTTCACACAATGAAAACTGATGGGCAATTTGCGATTTTCCCAGAAGAAAAGCCTCGGGGAGAGGGGATTGGGAAAGTGGCCCTGGAAGTGGGTTCATTGCGTGCGCTTTGCCGGCAATTTGTGTGCTAATGTCGCACTGGGCGCCGCTTCCTCGGGGGACCATTCTTTTCCCTCATAAATATTTACTCAATTTTTAGTTTTGTCAGACTGCCTTGTCTCGCAGGCAGTACCTAATTGGGGCTGGACATTCAATCAAATTTAATTAAAACTTTAAAGTTTGAGGAGTGAGGCCAAAGCGGAAGTCAGTCACTTAAGATTGCAGTCGGTAGACACCACTTTATTTGTTAGGAATATATTTTTTAAAATGAATTCTAAATCGTAATTGGCAGCTCATTTCTTATGGTTCCTTATATGTAATGTTAAACCCCCTGGGAAAATCTTTCGGGGGTGTCACAGAAATTCGCAGAACACCCATTCAGCGTAAGTGTCTTATAATCAATATAGTGATTTCTGTGGCACCCCTGTTAAAAAATATTTCTAATTGTAGATGAAGCTAATAATGGAATCAAATAAAAACATATTTAGGTATAGCTTGGTTACACACCTAATTATGTTCGCGTTTTTTTAAGCTAAAAATATACATTTTCTCAACTAATCTACTTTGACACTTTATCTTTTACTTAAAGTATCTCCCCATTTCCACACTTAATTATTTATTTTCAGTCTTTTATCTTTAATTACCGGTGCTTATGATCTCTGCCTTTTGCTGAGGTGTCTGTTGCATTTGAAGTTGCTGCTGAGGCAGTGGCTGTTGCTGTTGCTGCTGCCCCTCGGCAATCATCTTGCGGTTAGCCCAGGCGGCGGCATCTTCCCGATTGTTCACCATGGGCGGTGGAGGCGGCGGTGGGGGTGGTGGACCCAAAACAATGACATGTTGTGGTTGCTGCGGTGGTTGTTGCTGCTGCTGCTGTTGTTGCTGTTGTTGTTGCTGTTGCTGCTGGGCCACGACCTGCAACTGCTGTTGCACGTTCTGCACAGGCAGATATTGCTGAACCATGGGCTTCACGGGCTCCAAATTGCTGCTGCTACCGCTCGATTTTGTGGCCGTCGACGATACGGCGTTGCACTGAAAATTGGGTTAGTAATTAACGGTTGCAAAGGGGCCCAAATGATGTTGATAGGGCAACTCACTTCCGGTCCCTCGTCGCTCCCGTCCTCGCATTGGGGTATTCCATCACAGGCATTGTAGACCGCGATGCACTCACCGGAGTGGCAGGTGAACTGGAAACGCCCACATTGCGCAGCGGGAACTGAAATTGAGGCGATAGTTTCTCATTTTAGTAAACATTTTTCTTTAATAAACGAGAAACAATTAGGATTTTTGAACGTCATGTTAAAGTTTGTTATCTTTCAGAGAAAGTGAAATTGTACGAAAATGGAAATTCTGTTTTTAATGTGATATGAACCTATTGTTATCAGTTTCCGACTAAGAGGTTTTGTTTACATTAAACCTGATATTGAGAAAGTTACGTTTTTCGAAACAACAATGGAACTCAATGACAAAAGTTGACATGACATTGAGAAATGGGACCGTATTTGCAGTGCACTTTAGTACGTAAAGAATTTTAAACATGTGTCTTCTTATAATAATATATGTTTTTAATAAATTGAAAATCTCATATTTAAATGTTGACTTCAAGTCCAATATACCCTGTTCTAATAGTACCGGATATTAAAAACCTAACCACAACTCACCGCTTTGAGCTTGGTAAACTGCCGGCTGGCCCACACCCACTCCCGTTCCAGATGTGGGAGCCACCACCGCAGCGGTGGAAACTGTGGGCTTGTCCCTCGCTTCCGGCTTCAACTTCAGGTTGCTCAGCTCCCATTCCTGCTGCGAAACATTGTTGCTCGGGATGTGGGGCAACTGCGGTCGCGGAGTGCTGACCAACTCGCTGGCCTGCTTCGGCTGAGGGTTCAGAACGGCACTTGTATAGTTGGCGTGACGTGTGAACTTGCACCGGAAATCTTCCGGAGGACCACACTCGAAGAGATAGCAGTAGCCTCCGGCCTTCCGCTCAAAGATGTAAACATCACAGGAGACCGTCTCGCAGCACAGCCTTTCGCACTCCTCGATGGTGTCCAACTCGAGACCCTGGAGGTACTTGCCACCGATTGCCTGGGACTCTCCGGTTCGGATTATCGTGTTTTTATGGACGTCAAAGTGACCTGTGGATAGCAGTGAAGGATTAGCTATCTTGGTGATTCATAATAAATAAACTATCATTCAGTAATTACAGCTTTTATATAAAAAACGTATATAGTTATGTGGATATTGTCAGAACTCCATAAATAAATAATATATTTGATCGATGCTGTTCTGCTTTTGAAAACGGATTTAGCTTTCAAAACATATCTTGTTAAATTAAATTAAACATAAATTGACTGAACTCCTTAATTGTGGGATCAGATCAAATTGACTAGTATAACACTTCGCGTTAATTGTACTTATATTATTCCTTTTCCTTTTAAAAAAATATTTGAAGAAGAAAAGATTTGAAATATATCCTAAAGTGTATTACCAGTACTACCATAGATCCATTAGGAAATATTAAACATAAATTGATTGAACTGCCAAGTGGTGGGATCAGATCAAGTTTTTTTATGATGAATAACTGACATTTAGCTTTATATATATTAATATATTATAAAGTTATACTTATATTATTCCACTTTTCCAAATATTTGATGAAGATTTGAAATATTCCCAAAGTGAAATCAGAATTAACAGTATTACCATAGATCCATTAGGACGTAGGTAGTCGAGAAAGCCTCACCTATGCACACCTCCAGATCCATGCGTTTGCTAAGGCGGTGCTCCGCTGGCGAGGATTGCTGTGGACGTGGATCCAGGTACTCCACCTGCTCTGCGGTGGCTGCTGCTCCCGCGATCATCAGCAGCAAGGGCAGTGCGAAGTTGGTAATCATTTCGGTGGCTAATGGGTACTTCTGCGGTTTTACGGTCACGAATTTGGCCCTTTGTTTTCGGGCAGCTGGCGGTCACAGTTCACTGGGGGAGTGGCCGGGGTGTTTTCGCGTAGAGCAACCGAGAGGCTGGTCGAGGGCTTGCCGTGTTTACAAATTTTACACGCTTATTGATTTTTGGCCTTCTTCGACGGTCTGTGCAAATTCGCCACCGCAAACGTTTCTTTGATTTACACTTGATCGCGTGAAAATAATCACTTTATGGCCTTTCTTTGCTCTACCATTATAGTACAGAATATT